TTTTACGATTACTTGCATTACCATCATTGCTTGTGCCTGTAGAAGAGTCCAAACTTGCTTTTTCTCTTTAACTACTTTTAATTATTACTTACTTTTATTATATTTTTCTTTTAAATTGGTGGATACTCTTTTGTGTTTTTATTTTATTTTTGTAGTTGACTGGTGAAACAGTAGGAGAAGTAAGAGCAGTTGCAGATATGCACCAAAGAAAAGCTGAGATGGCCAAGCGCTCTGATGCTTTTATTGCCTTACCAGGTTTTTCTTTTTTTCTTAAACCCCATCCACCCATAAATATCATCATTTTTATTTCAACTTTTTTCTTATTCATATTTATAAGCCTCAAAATTTTGCTTTACTTTTCAAACAAAGTAATGATGACAATAATAACTGGTCAAAACTCTAGTGACTCAACAACACACCAGTTTAGACCCTTTTCTTGAACCTCTTTAATGTAATTTATGAGAAACCAAAGTTTAAAAGAGGAAATATTTTGACTGATTATACAAAAGAGATGAAGAAAGAACAATTTGGTTTCTTTAAGCCTCTTAAATGTAATGTATGGGAAACCAAAGTTTAAAAGAGGAAATATTTTGACTGAATTATACGAACACATGTTTGTTTTTCTTGGTCAAGCTGTAGTGTGAAAGCTACTGTGAAAAGTTTTTNAAAAAAATTTTGGTTTATAAATAAAAAGTTTTCAAGAGTCTCAAGATAGAGAGAAGGGCCTTGACCCATCAACGTCTGGCACTTAAAATGAGAACTTTTTTTAATTTGGTTTCTCTTCTCTTTTACTCTGTTTATATATTATTGGTCTGTTTTTAACTTAGGGTACAGTAGTACTACTCTCTGTATAGGCTTGTGTAGTCTTCTTTACTTGTGTTGTGACCAAACCTTTTTCTTCTTTACCCCGTTTCAAGTTAAGAGACAAAACCTGAAACAGTCCTACAAATAGCATATTTTGTTTTGCCCACACTGAATCTGAAAAATCATTATGGGAAAGTCAAGTTCTTTCAACAATCCTGCTTTTGTAATCATATTTCATACCAATATACAAAAACTCTTAACAGAGAAAAGAAAATTATTATTTGGTTTTTTGTCTTGTACATGACACTCTTATTTGACTTGACCCCATATCTCCTCTCTTTTTTACTACAAATCAAATCTTCTAAAGTTTTGTGTGAAAATGATTGCAGGTGGTTATGGAACACTTGAGGAATTGCTTGAAGTCATAACTTGGGCTCAACTTGGTATACATGAGAAGCCGGTAAGAAAAAACAAAAAACCATCTCTCAACATTTTGTTGTAAAATTCCAGAACCCATCAAAATCATTTTAATTTCAATCAATTTTTTTGCAGGTGGGTTTGCTTAATGTTGATGGATACTACAACTCTCTGCTCTCATTCATCGATAAAGCGGTCGAAGAAGGATTTATCAGCCCGAATGCTCGTGAAATCATCGTCTCTGCACCTACTGCTAAAGAGCTTGTGAAGAAGCTAGAGGTAATTAAAGCAAATCNAGATTGATTTCAAGAAATGGTTTCTTGAATTTCCTTATAATTTCATTAACATTGTTTTTTTTTTTTAATAAAGCTATTAACA